AAACGGTCGTCGCCTTTCCGAACGGTCGTCGCCTTTTCTCAGAACGGTCGTCGCCTTTCGGAGCGGTCGTCGCCATTTCCGATCGACCGAACTTCAGTTCCGAATATCCGCGACATGTTCGGGACTTCCCCGAGTTCTTTGAATGTGTGAAATCACACTTCCTGAAGATAACATCGCGACCGAAGACGGGCCAGAACTTGGCTAGGTGGATTGAAGTTGCGTGGGTGCTAGTACATGTATTATAATTATAAGTTCCGGGGGTTGAATTATCTAGGTTAGAACTAGGTTAGTGTTTGAGAAATTCTCGATTGGAACGGGAAGGGTTTGGGTAATTCTGAACTCGAATGTCTCTGGGTATTTATTTTTCTTGTATGTGAACATGTCCTCTCCCTTTTTTCTTTGTTTCCTTTTGAAATGCGAATAAACATTATTTGAAAAAAAAAACCCTCTGAACTAGAACGTTTGTAGGTTTTCATACATTGCTGAATTTGAAACGGGGGCGAGAAAAACTCCACATGTATTTTTGGAACAGCCCATTGTGCGAGCATGTAATTTATGAATGCCGCAGGATGGTCTGACTCAGAAACATTCATTCGGAAGCACCATCACACATGCAGGCATTTACTCTGACCAAGGACATTATGTCCTGACTGACTGACTCACTCACAACTCGAGTCGCCTGTTGAAGCCCTGCAAAACCCCTCCAAAGACGGGAAACTGTTCGAGATGACGCGTCCTTGCGGGACAGGAAGTCGCAAAGCGGTAACCCGGAAGTACTACCCCGGCCAGAGGTCAAGTCTCGTTACCTGATTACCCAACAAGTGTACACGGGCGTTGGACCAAAGGCTAAAACGGGAATCGACAAGAAAAAGGCAAACTAGGTCACCTACCCGAGTTTCAGACCATGGAATATACATATTCAAAGGGTAATTTATCTTCTATATTGTTAATTTTGATCATAATGTCCAAATTCTAAGTAACCTGACCTTCAACAGAAAACCTTTACTTTTAAAATTTCCCATGAACATTTCCCAGGAAAAAAAATCCTTTTGTTAGTTTTTCTTGGTATATCCAGACTAAAAGTAGGCCTAGTGTACTCTCTAAGCAGAGGTTGTGTGGGAATGATCGTTACATTTTTATATATGGCGGTTTAATTCTTGTCCTGACCCCTACCCGTCGGTGCATGCGGAGCTTCTCTGGCTAATGGATACTGCCTGGCCAATTTGATACTGTCTTTTTGCCACCGAGAGGGATCTGCTTCGAGATTAGGCCCAGTGCACTTGCGCTTAGGCTACCCGCTTCGCTTTGACTTTAGAAATTGACGGGTGACAGCACTACAAAACAATTAGGAGAAAAGTAAAAAAAACAAAGTTTTAAACTGAATAGGTAAAATCTAAAATCACCAAGCACTACTTAAGAAGAAGAGCTCAACAAAGTTTGAAACTGGCTAAGTATAATGTAAAATTCACATAGAGTACGCACATAGATTTTCATGAAATCTTCATTATACAGAACCCTGAAACCTTCAATATAAAAATTAATATCCTCTAAAAGAAAATACAAGATACTGAGTTGAAAATGGTAAACAGAAAATAAGGGCACACACTTCGTCAAGGAAACTTTAATAAGAAAAAAAAAAACAGTACATTCCTACAAACCTAACGCTAACTCAAGTGTACAATCACTTCTCAGTGTTAGTTTCTGGTAACTTACATCGTCTAATTGATACCATCAAATAGTGAAGTTAATGCGATAAAATTTGAACAAAACAATTAAGTACAGCTAACCCAACCGAACAACAATGTGAAAAGATAATACTGTAGGTGCAGTGCACCATAGTAAGACTAATTACAGAAGAAACAAAGGTTTTAGCATTAACTAGAGCATGTTAGTAAACTTGTCTAAAAAAAAGTTATATTTGTATCGGCTTTAAAAGTAAATATATATACTAGTAACCCAGTATTATTCCCAGTAGCCTTTTAGACACTATTATTGTTCCCGTCGTAAAAAACAAATCTGGTAACATCTCTTGTACTGACAATTATAGACCAATTGCGATCACTTCGGCATTATCGAAAGTCCTAGAGGCACTCCTGCTTAATCGTCTGAAGCCTTTTCTTCTGACGTCTGATTCTCAATTTGGCTTTAAACCTAAACATGGGACTGACATGTGTGTTTTTATGTTAAAGCAAATTATCGAGTACTACAGGGGCTTAGGGTCCCCTGTCTTTGTGTGCTTTATGGATGCCTCTAAGGCCTTTGATCGCGTAAACCATTGGACACTGTTTAGAAAGTTGATCGACAGAAATGTTCCGCTATATCTAGTTCGATTCTTGGTTTCCTGGTATACGAATCAAAGAATGTTTGTGAGATGGGGGTACAGTCCTTTCACCGAGCTTCTCCGTTACTAACGGAGTACGACAGGGTAGTTTACTGTCCCATATCTTTTAATGTATACATAGATGATTTGAGTGTAAGCTTAAACAATGCCAAGGTGGGCTGTTATGTAGTGGTCCA